TCATGCTGAAAGTCTTCTCTGCATATTTAGCCTTAAACACGACAATGACTCCCTGGTCCATTGGCTGGATGATGGAGGTGGTGTTTTTTGGCAGGAAAACCACCTCAATGTTGGGGTGGGCAGTCTTGAGTTCTTCAGAGTGGCCAGGGCAATTATCTAGATATAATACCACTTTGAACTCCATGCCAAGTTCATCCAGATAATCTTTCACCTCTCTAGCAAAGCAGTTTTTCAGCCAATCCACGCACAAATCAGATGTCATCCACGCTTTCTTGTTGTTCCTGTAGAAAACTGGTAGCAAGTTCATGTTTTTATTTTTGAGAGCCCGAGGTCGTGCGGCAGTGTATAACAACATGGGCTTAATCATATGCCCTGCCGCATTCCCACATAGCATCACTGTCACTCGGTCCTTCGCAACTTTAAATCCAGGGGCACTTTTTTCCTCTTTAGAGATGTAGGTTCGGCGTGGCATCTTCTTCCACCATAGGCCTGACTCATCAGCATTAAAAACTTGTTCCGGCCTATAACCCTTTTGTTCTATGTGGTTAGCAAACTCTGCAGGGTATGCTTCCCCTGCCACAGTGTCTGCTGATGCTGCTTCGCCAGTCACTTTTATATTATGCAGCCCATAACGATGTCTGAATTTCTCGAACCATCCTTTGCTAGCTGCAAATTTTTTCAAATTGTCACCATCACCCTGATTATCACCATCACCCTGATTATCACCATCACCCTGATCATCACCATCACCATCACCAACACCATGATCATCACCTTTAGAAAACTTATCATAAAGTTCCTTAGCTTTCTGCCTAATAAATTTCGAGTCAAGTGGTATGCGGCGGCGGTTTAGGTCCTCTATCCAAATGTTCAGTGCTTTTTCCATTTTAATGAGGGCATCATCATGCACATGGCTTGTCACTTTTGATGTCACTGGTGCACTTGAAGCTAAAGCGTGCTTCAGATCCTTTGCACGTCGTTTAATTCCACGCACACTGGATTCGTTGAGCCCAAAGTGGCGGCCAACAGCTGCGTAGCTCATACCGCTGTCGAGTTGTTTCAGCACTTCATTCTTCTCATTCAGCGTCAGCACTCGTCTTGCCCTCTTAGGTGTAGATCCAGAGGGAGCAGCAGGTCGTTTGGGAGGCATGGTGATATAAGTTGATGTGATGAACCACCAGCAAAAGTTGAAAATCAAAGACTGTTGCCCACGCGGCTTGGCTGATGTCTGTGTTCAGGGAAGGCGGGCCGCGGGTAGACGCTAGTCACGCCACTAGTGCCGCCTAGCGGCGAAAGTACAAACAAGGCCCGCAGAGTTCAAATAAAGCCAAAAAAAAATCCGTCTAAATAATCCGTCGATAATCGAAACCGTCAATAAATAATCCGTCGATAAAGAGGGAGTACTGTACTACTGTACAGTATACTGTATAATAATAAATAAAAAACAATAGAATACTGTACTGTATTTTAACTTACTTTGAGGTGTGTATGTCGTATTCCCGGCAGCTTTGTTTACATATCAAACAGCTGATTGTAGAGGCAGTCGATGATGACATGCCATATTCTTTACAGAGTGCATTGGTTCTAATGCCTTCTTCGTGTTTCATAATAATTTCTGCACTGTGAACTAAATTTCAGAATGACCAATAATTTTAATGTAGAAATACAAAAATATTCAAGAGACCAACAAACTGGATGTTCACTCCACTGTAAACAAAGTTAAACTGAGAAGCGTTGGTGGGTGATTCTATCAGCTCATTGGCACACAAAAACTGTTCCCTGTACTGTATATATTATCAATATCTTAACTAAATTAGAATGACCAATAATTTTAATATAAAAAATGTAAAAATATTCAAGAGCACAACTTTCATATTTACTCCACTGGAAACAAATGTAAACATAGAACCGATTACTGTATTGGCGGACTAGCCGATCAGCTGATGCGCACAACAAAGCATGTTTCTCGTAAGGCTTTCGTTAATTGAAGGTTTGCTCAATAATGGAATTGAAAATCCTTATGGGAGCTAATCTGTTAACCGAAATTTTTTTAATTGGACCGTTCGTTAATTGAGGGACCACTGTACGTACAGATACACTAGAACTCATAAATCACTAATGTAATGTGATAAGTACAGGTGATTAATTGTTATCTTTTGTGCAAAATATATGACGTTTTATTCAAATTATTTGCGGTCTTGTAAGGATTCCAGCAATGCAATTTATATTCTCCTAACTTTAGACTGTGCCACTTTATGTCAAGTTTAGTTGCTTTTATTGGCCTCCAGAACCTAACCCTATTTTCCTCATTGATTACATGTAATTATATATCACGATTTAGTATATAGCGAACATCCTTGGACCCTATCTCGCAATATATCCCGACCCTACTGTATTGTAATACCTCCGTTAGCTGGAATCCCTCAAACCCGGAACTCTCCGATAGCCAGAATTGAAATTTTCTTGGAAAATTGTTCCCAAAGCCGTAATTTTCCGGAAAATTACGGCTTTGGGAATTATTTTCCAAGGGGCACATTTTCCGTAAAATTCTGAGAAAATTTTCCCAATACCCGGAATATTCCAGGGATAAGGGCTGATTTTTCCGGGTTCGAGAGATGATGTAATGGGCAATTTCTGGAACTTCCGAGAAATTTTTTCCATTACCGGGTCCCTGGAAAATTCGGGGCATGGGGGATTTCTTTTTCCGGCTTTGAGAGAGTCGTCTCATTACCCAGAAATCTCTCATTCCTGGAAGTGCTCTGCACCAATTGTTCCAGCTAACGGGGATATCACTTGTGTATATATATACTTGTATACAGTCTCTCCTCGACTTACGACAGGGTTCTGTCCAGACGACCAGGTCGTAAGTCGAAAAGGCGAAAATAATACATAGAAAATCTAAAATGGGTGTCTCTTTTTCTTCTCAGCACCACGAGAACTCTCACCTTTACGCTTCCCAGCCATTTTAAAGGGGTGAGGTGACGAGGTGTGGGGTGAGGTGACAAGGTGTGGGGTGAGGTGACGAGGTGTGGGGTGACGAGGTATGGGGTGAGGTGACGAGGCGAGGGGTGAGGTGACGAGGTGTGGGGTGACGAGGTATGGGGTGAGGTGACGAGGCGAGGGGTGAGGTGAGGCAAGGGGTGTGGTATGGGGTGAGTGTGAGCAAGGGGTGAGGTGACAAGGTGTGGGGAGAGGTGTGAGGTGGGGTGAGGTGACGAGGTGTGGGGTGACGAGGTATGGGGTGAGGTGACGAGGCGAGGGGTGAGGTGACGAGGTGTGGGGTGAGGTGACGAGGCAAGAGGTCAGGTGACAAAGCAGGAGGTGAGGTGATGTGACAAGTCACTTACAGAACAAACACATTAACAACACTACTAAAACATTGTCTTATAACATTTTAATTTCTAATTTCTGTTTTAAAATTAACAGATACATGAAGGCTCAACATAGCTACATTTGCACTTAAGACAACTGATCAGTGAATAAACCAGGGCACATGGGGATCCATTATACACTACAATAATATTTATTAAGTTCTGATAAATATGTTAAAATATTATTTACTAAGTGCTTAAGACAGACCTTGTGGTAAGCACCAACCCTCTTGAGGAGTAACAACAATGGTGCTTGAGAGATGGCGAGTGCTGGCAACACTATTATTAAAAGCGGATCAGTGGAACCAATCAGCTGTTACCGGAACTCTCCAATAACCAGAATTGAAATTTGCTCAGACTTTTTCCGGAAAATTTCTCTCAATTCCAGGTTTGTGAAAGATTTTCCGAGGTTGAAAATTGTGCGCATTTTCAGGAAAATTCTGAGAAGATTTGCAGATACTCTCTTAAACCTCTCCAATCTGGGCCGGGGAATAAATTTTTTCAGTAGTCCTGAGAGATTGCATCAGGCTCCAACACATCCCCACATGCCAGGTGTGTGGGTGGCCTAAATGTTTGGATCGCTCAGTTCATATTCTGCTACTATTGTAGAAGGTTCTTCCCTCACTAGCTGCAGTGTTTGTGTCCAATTTGTATTGTGCAGTGCTTTACATTACTGTACCAGAACAAAATTGGCCAAGAATACAGTGTTAATGTAGCATTAAGAACGTAAAAGTGATTACAGTTACGTATTCTATACTGTACATTCGGTAAGTAGGAAACATTTGAGCAACTTAGCTTTTGCCTTTATTCAAGGTGTCTTCATGTCATGAGACCCACTAATCCCCCACCCTGACAATGGGTGACCCAACTTTGCATCACGGTCAAGTCAGTGACATGTGACCCAGTAATTCCCCACAGCTCCATGCAAGTAGAAAATACAAGTTTTTGCTATAACACACAGCTTCATTCATGAGGCGCCTTGCATGCCCATCACATAGATTTTTATTTTTTTATTTATTTATTTAACCAAACCTTTAGATAAACTATTCAAGATTATTTTAGTAAAGAAATGGAGTTTCCAACTGCATTTACAGACTCCAGTAGTTTAGACTATGAAAACTTTCCCCAGCCCCCAGAAACATTTTAGGGATGTGGGTTAGCATCTGTCTGAGCAAGATAAGTAGTTTAGACACTTGGAAACTTTTCCCAGAAACCGGAAAAAATTCCAATGCCAATTGTTCCTATATTGTTCATATATTTTAAGAGTAATGATATTAGTTAAGCTGAATTTCATTGTTATTTGATTAAATTATAAATGTGAATCTTTGACTAATTTCAACAACATACAGACGGGCACGATGAAATTAATTTATCTCGCACACCTTGATGGGCACGTTAGAAAAGGGCAGAAGATGTTCCCCAGTTCACACTCGACGGTGGTCAAAATGGGCTAGTGAGAACTTACCTTTAGGGCCACAATACACAAAATAGATAAATTAATTTAGCTGACACCTACGCAAAGACATCCATAATAATATCTGATTACCCATTGTCTGTGTGAGGAAACAGTGTTCATAAACCTAGGAATGTCACTAAACAGTTCATATATGGAATGAGAACAACACTTACCTTACTACGAAGATCAATGTGAGTGGCTACGATATTCTCAGGAATATGTTCTGAAGTTTGATATGGTAAGAATTCTAAGAATCCCAAAAATTTTGCCAAGACACGAAGATTAAGGACAACAGAACGAGCTTCGCCACACACCATTACGTCTACTGGATCTGTAGAAGGGAAGAAATTACTCAACACTTCAATTTACTCTTTTTTGTTTTGTTTTACATCATGATACAACCATAAAGTTTACATATCTGACAATAAATTTCATTGAAAACAATACTATACAGGGTGATTCACAAAGATTTACATTGTATTAGCCCCTGTCTTATAGGCAGAAGTATTTATATAAATGGGTTAATTACTTTCAACTTATATACCCTATCACCCCCCTGGAACTTTCCACTAGCTATGAGGCTCATGTTCAGAGCACGTGATAAGGTGTGCCCACGGGAAGTCACGTCACTTAGTGCTGAGCTAAGGATTAAGTGACCAGCTCTCTGGCCACCTATTGTGGCAGTAGTTTGATATCACTCACTAGAGAAAGACGTTATTTAGAGCCATCGTGGATTGTTCCGTCTTCCCTCGAGGGAGGATGTCGGATATATTTCCGTTCTTCCCTCGATGAGTCCCTACTCATTCTCACTCACCACTCATCGACTGGATGTACTTAGCAGAGCTATTTAACATAGCCTCCATCCTCATTTAACACTCATAGATACAGTGATTAAGTTACGGTGATAATCCTTTTTGAAAGTGTACATAGAAACCTTTTATAATAAATACAACCAAAAGGAAGATATTAGATTTCACGGCAGAAGATCCAATAAACTTTTATCTATACTTTAGTACGTCTAAAACAAAAAGTAACATGCTTCACAAGTGATTGTTACAAGTGGTGACAGCCCAGGAAGGTTGTCACATATGTGACAGTTTCACAAGTAACTGTCATATTCACGGTAACAGTGACTTCAACAGATACACAGTTGATAAAGCTAGAGATATTATGTTCTCCCCATTACTGTGTCTTATTGTTACATTACTACTAAGAGAAGCCCAATCGTTACAAGGGTGGCAGCGGTACAAAAGAAGATATTGTTACATTGTAAGGTGACCAGTCTACAGGACCAGTCTACAGTTTACAGCTAGTCAAGTGTACTCCCAAGTAACCGTGACAATTCACATAACAGATGTTCTGGCCCTTTAACCCAGACGGAATCAACGGTTAAAGGGCCAGAACATAAGGTGGCAGCAAAATGGGAACGGATAACGACATTCCAGTCTACATACACATTCTACATAACAAGTCATAAGTGTTTTACGAAATCAGAAAAATACAAAACAGTGACGTGTATACTCTTCCAAAGTGTATTAGGGTATCCCGTGGTGAGACGTTATACGTTGAGTGATTTTTATTTTGTCATCCAAGGAGATGTACAATTTCTTTTTCAATAACCAATTCTGAGTTATTGATAACTTTCTATCTTATGGAAAGTTGGCAACACCCCTGTCTGGCAACAAGGCGTGACGGCCAGGAATTCACGAGGTCAGCGCTCAACATCCTGTGTGCGGATCTTACAGTGTTGCCACATACCTACGAGCTTCGAGGTTTTGCAACACGTGCACCTTACACCATTTAGACATCACAGGTTGTTTAAACAATGTTTTGGCTGTCTTGGCTGCAGATTGTTTACTCCCTGTGTGCACTCAGCAAGTCCTATATATACAGGGCTTCCGAAGGTTTGACACACAGAAGGACCAGCATCTCATCAATTGTGGAGGTATCCAGCAATCTCACAACCAGTAGTCAGCAATTTTGGTGGATAGTGAACTCCCTGGGGTTGAAGTGGACTCGCCCGTCGCCATCTTGAAGCATCATTCAGTTGCTACGCAACGAAGATAAGCACCTGACAGCGCAGCGGCCATTGACCCACTCACGCCGACCTTGAACCAGCTGTGCCAGTGGGAGGGACGACCGAGTCTGACGGCTTCTGTGTCCTGCAACGACTGAGACCACCGTTTATAAGTATCTAGGTATACATTATACGGTAAATATATACCCACATTAACATATTCAACGACATAACTTCACACAGATAGACATCGTGTAGGTTATATCAATTATAATAAGTGTCTTACTTACTTTTGATATGAATATATATACTGGAGATACTGACGTAATTAAAGTCCAGTATTAAGTTTCTCTTATTCTTTAGTGATAATTTCTTCATTTTACGGGTAACGTATTTACTGTAAATGAGAGGCAAGAGTAATTTTATTTTTATGATATAACTTTTGATGTGATCCATTTCCTTATTAATGGACCGTTTTACGAAGTCTTCATCTTGGGACATTGCTGATTTGGCAGAGCATTATATTAGCAATTCAGATATTGCAGATGAGGTTAAAGTCACTACTTAAAAAACAGATTCAGTGGATGAGCACGAAACACAGGCGCAATCAAAGCTAGATATTTCTGTCAGGAGTAGTGAGAATATTATAGACCATACACTCGTGTGTAGTTCGAGTTTTTAAGACCAAATTTTTTGCCAAAAAATTGGGGGTCGACCTTTACATGGGCAATAGTTTTGTTAGGTTGAATCCGTGCATGATGTGAAAGGCGAGGAGCAACTTTTAGCTTCAGACATGAAAAATATTTACCATTTACTGCCAGTAAACAATGGAAATGTAAAATATGTACTACCAATTAGTAATGAAAAGTTGTGCAGTTCCTTCAGCAGATGAAGCTCACCAACTTACAATAGGCTAAATTACCTTACAACATGCTTTCAGTAGTCTATGTTGAAACTCTTAGCACAGGCTAACTTATCATATCATATACGGTATCACAGTACTCATTGATCTACAAAAAGTACCGGTAATAAAACCTTTTTGATATTTCACACTTAATATAATAACCGGTAATCCACCTCAACCTCATATTGTTTACAACGATGCACGACGCACCACCAGCTGTTGCGTATCAGCTAGATGGTACACATGTTTTTCGAATCGTTTTCAGTTAAAAAACTGTTACATCACACGTATATTTACCTTAACTGTGCCTGAATGAATATATTCTCAGAAATAAATAGCAGTTTTGCTGAAACGTGATGTATTTCAATGTAAAATAGGAAAAAATACATGACAAAAACAAAAGACTTTACCTAACCTTCTGATGTTCAAGAGATGTTACTCGTTTTTTTAATAGTTTTCGGTTCAAATATTGTTATATTACAATGATATTCTATTCATACTGTGCTTGATATACTACATTCACGGAAATGTAATATTTTTGCTGAAATGACGTACGTATTACAGTGGAAAGTGGGATAAAACCATGACGAAAACAATTGACTTTCGCTTTCTTTCGTTGTTCAAAAGATGTTACCGTGATCGCTTTTCGAATGGTTTTCAGTTAAAAAAACTGTTGTATTACAATAATATTCTATCCAAATTGACTTGAATAAATACTTGAATGGAAATATACAATATTTTTGCTGAAACTACCCACGTTTCAGTGTAAAGTGTCGTAATAATGGTAAACAATTTGCCTTCGGCGCTTGGTGTTTCAGGCACGGCGACCCTCAGTTTATAGGATGTAGAGTGTTTTTAGTGAAGGTTTTGCCGTTCCATTACCCTCAAAAACTTGGGTCGACCAATAAACGAGGTAGAATTATAGACGAGTATATACGGTACTGGAGACACTGATGTAATTAAAGTCCAGTATTAAGTTTCTCTTATTCTTTAGTGATAATTTCTTCATTTTACGGGTAATGTATTTACTGTAAATGAGAGGCAAGAGTAATTTTATTTTTATGATATAACTTTTGATGTGATCCATTTCCTTATTAATGGACCGTTTTTCGAAGTCTTCATCTTGGGACATTGCTGATTTGGAGGAGCATTATATTAGCGATTTAGATATTGCAGATGAGGTTAAAGTCACTACTTAAAAAATAGATTCAGTGGATGAGCACGAAACACAGGCGCAATCAAAGCTAGACATTTCTGTCAGAAGTAGTGAAAATATTATAGACCAATCATTTGACGATTTAAACCGTCGAACCCTAAGGTCAGGTAACAAGTATAATACGTAGCCTGATTACGGACAGGTTCTTCTTTCTCCTCCACAGAAAGACAGTGTGTCAGAAAACTTTTTATTACCTCCCCCATTAAAAGATCGCTCAGTTAGGAGTAAGTTAAATAGTATGGCTGCTTCTAACACCGACATGTCTACTAACCCCGCTAACGTGTTTCATGTGATACCGCTTGGTGATCAGGGCCGTGATTTTACAGGGGAAGATAGGTACAGGGTAACTACATTTCTAAGAGCATGTGAGGATACCATGAGAAATGTTCAGATTACTACAGATCAGGTGAAGAAGTCGTTTGTTTGCTCTCATATCCCGCAAGAGAGTTTTGCGAGTGAACATATGGACGTCAGCGGCTTGGTTGACCCGAGGTATGAATATTTCAGAAGGGCTCTAATTAGTATTTTTTAGTCTGGTTCCCAGCTAGGACATTTACATTGGTTGTTTAGGTGGCTTGATTGTTTGACACCTGTTGTTCGCGCAGAAACTCCCATGAAGGGTGTCGCCACTGCTGGTGATGTCAAACAAGACACGTGTGGTAATTTTGATGGATGGCCATGGTATGATGATGATGGCAAGATGTCTGAGGAGAATGTTGAGAACTTAGTTGAACTGATTAGTTTTTTGGTGGCTGTTCGCGACCATATATTGTCGTGCACAGGAAATTGAGTATGTACCGACTGATTTGATCATAGATTATGCAAATAAACTTGCTCCCAAGTCAGCTCGTACTCCAACAGTTAGGACACCTACACCTGTAGTACTAATGCAACAACGAGTTCCTAACAACCCAGGTAACAAACCTCGACAAGTTTTAGTATGTACACATTGTAAGAAAAGAGGCCATACAGTGGATAATTGTTACCAGCTCCAGGGTGGTGGTGTCAAGAAAAAGGAAAAGAGACATCCCCCCACCGGCCCGCGGCAAAGACATGGATCACCCAAAATGCATTCAGCGGCGGCAAAGACTACGTCTATGACAGGCCATAAAGCTGATCTGTGGTGTGAGTTCCATCAGTCTGACTCTCACAACACGGATGAGTGTGCCATGATGCTAAGAGCTAGGAGCGTAG